TCTCCCTCTGATACTATTTTGGTCCTAAACTAACGCTGGGAAACACGGTTGCTCTGTAGCCAGCTCCTGAGTGGGGCGCAGGGGCCGGATGCTGGCTTGAAATCTCTTTCTTCTTCCCAGCAAAGCAAAGGTGCCTCTGATGGAAGCGGGGAATGGCTGAATGGTGGATGATTAGCACATGCACAATAAAGGGTGTTTCAAAGAGCTCATTAGCTGCTAAAATTGGCTGGAATATTAACAGAGATAAAAGACCAGTTTGAAGCACAAGCAGCCCAAATGGGAAATTTGATTCAGTCCAGAGCTGAGAAGCAGGAGCCTGGGGATGGATCCTCTGCTGGTATAACTCCAGTGACCCACGGTAGAGCTGTGCTGCTTGAATCCTCCAGAGCGCTCTCCCTTGGGTGGTAAATCTGCCTTTCCCATTTATTTACTGGGCAAATCTCTTTTCTCTGGGCCTTACTTAACCCTCTGGAGCTAATTCTCCAGGTAAGCCGATAGCGCATTCATCAGCATTTCCTTTTGCTCTGACTTGATTTCATTGTGCAGAGGTCTTGCCACAGCCTTGGGATCACCCGTGTCACTCGTCACCCAGTCACCGTGTGCTGGGGCTGGTCGGCTATCCGGGTGCCTTCTGGGAAGCGGGTGCTGACCCGAGCTGATGGCTCTGGTGGCTTCATGGGGATAAGTCAGGGGTCAAGATGTCCAGATCCCCACCACACACGCAACAAATAACCCTGGCCTTTGGGATTTAGACATACAAACAGCTTCTGGGCCCTATGGGTTGGGGCTCTCTTCTGTCACCTGTTGTACAGTAACTACCTGCTCACACCCCATGGCAAGTAGAAGCTGAACTCTGGAAGCTTAGCCCTCGAAGAAAGAGGGGCACGAGACTGTGGTTTGACTTTCACCGACCTCGGGGTAAGAGCAGGCGCACGGCCATTTCCATGGAGCAGCCAGCATGCAGCAGTGAGCCATTCATGTCCCCTCTCTGGCATCGCTCTTGGTTGTGTGGCAGAGAAATGGCAAGCTAAATGCAGGAAAGCTTTGACCCCAACAAGGCTGAGTGAACCCCTGCTTCCCTATCTGTGGTGTAGGGCGCCTTTGGGTCCCCATTAGGTCAGCCTGGGGGTGGCTTTAACTTGTGCTCTGTTCCCACGGCTGCCCAAGAAACAGAGAGTAGCCAGACTCCATCCCTGAGCCCCTCTGCAGCCCCCTCTCCTGGGGTTTGGGCACCGGGCTGGTAGGAGGCTGCAGCAACAGCTGTGCATTGGCAGGGGCAGAGCTCCTAATGCCCTGGACTGGGTTTCACACCTTCAGAAGCCCCTTCATACTGCCGGGGTCATGAAAAAGGGTCCTGAGCACACAGGGAACTGTGAAGCACTGCTCAGAGACCTCCTCCACTCCAGATGCCCCTTGCTGGTCCCTTCCCCCTGCCCCGCTGGCAGGCTCCCTTTGCCTGACAGATCCTCTGTGACAAGGGCGGGGGGCAGCGAAGCTGCAATGTGACTGTGTTGCTCTTCGGCTGTGGTCGGGTAGCGTCGTGATTCATGGGAAAGCAGAGGAGGGGGGACAGGACAGGGATAATTAGGTCCATTTCATCTCTGCTCATCCGCATCCTGATAGCTCAGAGTCACTTTGGTTTCGGGTGCTGGAGTCAGTTTGGTTTTTTGGTTTGGAGTCGCTTGGCTGTGGCTGCTGTGAGACAGGCTGGCCCCCCTGGGCCTTGCTCAAGTGCCTCAGGCCTCGAGGCTGCATGAATTAGAGATGCAGTTAATGATGAGCAGGAAGCGTCGGGTTGGACATTCAAGCAGTGGAGCATCTTTGATGCCCACGGGACTTCTCTCATTGATGCCCTCCAGGGATTTGGCCCAGAGAGTTTCGTGTTAGGAGCAACCTGAAAGAGAGACGGTTTGGGTAGTGACCGGGCAGGGCTGGGCTGGCCGGGAGACCCCACGGCCAACCCAGAGATGGCAGGGGAGTATGCTAGTGGTCCAAGGTGGTGACCTCCTCTCACGTCTGCATCTGGGCCTGGGCATGAGTTGAGGCGATGCCTTTCAAATCAGCACTCCTCATTCACAGTGCTGCGCGTCAGTCAGCTCGCTGGCTCTGTGACAGGCCAGCTGCCCCCCGGGTGGCATGCAGACTCTGAACGCCAGAGCTATCAGTAGGGAGGGCTTTCTCTCCCCACGCTGCCATGCAGGGCTTCTGGGGCTGCAGTGCCTCTCTAAGCCTTGGTTAGTGTAATTCCCCTGTCTAAATCCCCAGAACAGCTTTCATATCCTTGGGATTAACACACTTGGAACGAAGCTGACAATCACAACAGTGAATGCCAAGGCTAATAGGAGGATCACACATGTGCCCGAAATGATCCATGTGGGCACAAGTTGGCAGGATCGGGCCAATGTCTATGACCTGCCTTATGACGTCTGGAAATGCGGCCACTTCTAGGGCAGGCTGTAGCAGCCGTTTCGGATGGCGCTTAGGAACACAACGTTCACCAGAGGCATTTTTCGAGATCATTAATCCTCCCTGAGCTGAGCCGTGAGAGAGGGAACGGCCAGTCGGAGTCAGTAAACCCAAATGCAGCTGAGCAAGGAATGTAACCAGATTATGGTGGCTCACCAAGGTGAGGCTGTCCCTGCCGGGCAGTATACACAGGCATAAATCTGGAATAACTCTGCTGGCTGCAGCGGGCTCGGTGTGGATTCACACTGGTTCAGCTGAGGGCCAAATCGGACCCTAACCCCATGGGACTGGCCCGGCGGAGTCGCTCTGGATTTCCTCCAGCCTGGTTTGGGCTTAAAAATAAACTCAAGCGGTGTCCAGTCTGACCGGCTTCCAGCCTGTCTTTTCTTGCTTCCCTTCCCTGCTCCCAGCTGGACTCCTGGCAAGATAAGGATCCTTTCCTGGCAGCAGCGGCAGTCGGAGCGGCACCCGCATTGACAGGCCTGCCTAAAAGGGAAATGAGTCAGGGACGCTCAAGGAGCACCCCCAACCCCCCAGCCCTTCTCCGTCCCAAATCTGAGATGAGGTGACAGGACCGTGGCCTCCACACTTTGCTTTGCACAGAGCCCTTCAGTCCTTCCCCGCACACAGACCCTACAGCCCTCCCTCCTGGCAGTGCCCTGGGGCTGCAATGCTGGCACCTCACGCAGTCACTGTATCAGGGTGGAGGGCCGTGAGGGGTGACCCGCTCTGCACCCGCTCGACCCTAAGTGTCTTCACAAGGGGCTGGGAACTGGAGGGTCCAACCTCCAGATGTGCCCCACAGTAACGAAGCACGTGCAAAACGCTCTGTAGCAAGGGTGGGGATGTGGGGAAAGGAGCATTTGAGGCAGCTCATTGCAGGGCAGAGAGCTGTGGGTGTGCTTGCCATCTTGGCCATCGCCCCAGGCATTAGACGGCAGGCCTGTGGAGATACGTGCATGAGCCTCTATAGCCTGAGTGAACAAGCCAGGCTCTGGAACGGGGGCCGTAGCAAGCTGCCTAGCTCAGGGATTTCTAGCAGGGTTCGTGTGAGCCAGATGGTGAGATGATGATTACTGCTGCCTGCGTGAATCAGCCAGTGCCTGAGGCTGAGTCCCCTGCATAGGGTTACCAGGCCCCAGACAGGGCATCAGACAGTCAACAAGGGACAAAGCTCTCCTACCAAACACGCCCGCGTCGCATTGCTCTGGATGGGGTGAGCAGGATTCTGCCAAAGCCAGAAGTTAAAACCGGCTGCCTGACTCCATGCATTTCCCAAAGGGCTCGGAGCGCCTGGACCCCGCCTGCCTTCCCACCGCATTGGGCCATTTGCATCCATGCTGCTTTCCACCCCGCACAGCTCCAGGCCGTCATTCCTGTTAGTTTTCCAAGACCCCAGGGGTCAGACACCACATCAAGCTCAGGAAACTTTGCTCACAAACCTTCAGAGTTTCTCCAGGTTTCTAAAGTTTCCTTGCCTGCTAGTGAATGTCATCCCTTATTCCGGTCACTCCCCTAGTCAAATGAACCGAGGATCAGTTTCTAGCTGAGTCAGCGGGTGTAAATTTCCATTTTTTTCCCCCTCCATTAATGACTCCTTGGCTCCAGACTGAAGAAGCAGATACTGGATGCTTTTCACACTCGCGTCTACAGGAATTTTATTAGCCGAGCCCTCCCTTCTCGTTGCAGCCTGTACTTTGCATTCACCTTCCATTTTAAAATGGCCTCTCCTTTGTAACACAACTGACCATGTGCAAGGCATGACCTATTTGAATCTGTGCAAGGCAGGGCCTGTTTCAATTTGTCCTTATTTATATTCCAGCTGACAGCTGGGCTCCATCATGCCGAGTGCTATAGACACCGAAGTCCCTTCTCCAAGGACTTTGCAGTCTATACAGCCAGGATGGGCAAGGGCTGGGGAAAGAGCAGGGTTGCGGTTGCCGTTTCAGTGTGGGGAAAGGGAGGCACAGCAAGATGAAGTGTCTTGACTAAGGTCATGCAGGGAGTCTATGTCGGAGCTGGGTGTTGAGCTCAGATCTCCTGAGTCCCAGCCCAGCGTCCTCCACCAACACTTTGGATGTGTGCTGCAGACAAGGAGGACAGAGGGAGGATGCGGTAGTCAATGAGGACACGGGGTGGTTGTTGACCCATGCCCCCTGCTCCATCTGCTCCGGCCGGCAAAGCATTTGAGCCTTTGCTTCAGTCTAAGCATGTGAAGTCCGTTTGCCAACAGTGCTTGAAGAACAGCACGTACACAAATACCTTGCTCCAGCCAGGCTTCATGGTGGACAGTCACAAAAGAGGAATATGACTTTGTGCCCTGGCTTGGCACAGCTGGGAGGCAGGCAAGGTCCTGCTGGGGTTATCGAGCTGGCTGCTGTTTGGGGGTACAATGGCAGGCAGGGGTGTTTGGCCCCGCTGCTCCCAGGCAGATGAGGGGCACAGCTGGCAGAGCCACGTAGCACTAGGACCTGGTGGAATATCTGCCCAGCCTCCTCCAAAGGATTAGCCAACATCACAGGGCACGGGCATGCTCTAGAGGCTTGTGCTTTTCCTTTCCCCTGCTCTATACAAGTTTTTTCCCCTGTTTCCTCTGGTCCAGCGCAGAGGAAAGAGTAACTCAGCCTCAGCATTTCTCTTCCTTTCCAGCTGCACCGTGCCAGGGTCTTCCAGGGCCAAAGTTGGCACTATAGGGATCTCTTCTTTAAATCGCTCCAGCTGTAGGCGGACTGCCTGCAGTCCAATCCGCGCTCCAGAGGCAAGTTTAACTTGGGAGCGCAGCAGCAGAAGGGGTGTTGCTTGCGCCGCTCCTCCAGCCCCTGCTGTCAGGAAGAATTTATGACTTGGAAAGGGGGTGGGGGGGGAGAAAGAGGGAAATTGCTTCCAGCAGCCAGAGTCTGAAATAGCGCAGTATAAAATATATAGGGGGTCTGAGCTCAAGGCAGGAGCTGCATGCGTAGACACAAGGATCTGGAAGCTGGTGGATCCGTCTACGTACTATGACTGATCTCAAGCCTTTCATCTGCCTTCACAGCTCCCAGCTTTTGGATTTAAGGTAGCTTGCCCCCTCCCCAGCCAGAATTTTGCTATGTTTGCCAGGACTGCACTTTCTTTTGCTCTGTGGCTGCAGGTCGCTCGGGGACAGAGTATACCTGAGAAAGGTGAGTGCTTGACGAGCTCAGAAACAGCCTTCAGGCTGGACTGTATTTTACTGCTTGATATGCTTTAGCCCTGTTCCTCTGGCTTTTCAAAGGAGGATTAATGCAGTGGCAGTGCTAAGCAGGGCAGGTGTGGGCAAGGGTGTGGGGGGGTGATTATTAACTTCCTGCAACTGCCACGGCACAGAGAAAACTTGGTTGATTTTTGTTTAAGCAAAGAAAATGATATTGCTCTGGGAGTTGGTCAAGCTGGGTGTGCTGCTAAGGAAAGAGATTCCTGGCTGCTTCTTGAAGAAAAGCTTCAGGACGTGAAAAAAGAAAGTGAAAAGTGGTTTCTGATACCACACACCTGCTGTGGGGTGCTCCCTGCTGAGGTTTATGGGGGGAACAACCGTGTTCTCCCCCTCCTATAAAGTTTTCCTTCTGGGGCGGTGTGAAAGACCCAGGTGGGATGGGGGAACAGGGACTTATGTGCTGCTACTTTTAAGAAAGCGAAGAGGGAAAGAAGAGGTGGCAGGGGGGTATTACAACTGCGTCTCTCCGCAGCCATCAGGATTGTCCCACACGGCAGGAACAAGTAATGAGAAATGTTGTGACAACGGCATCGGTTTTCTTCTTGGCTGGGGAAAAGGGGAGGAAAAGTTCAGTTCTTTGGCTGTTGATGCAGGGACAGGTGGATTTTGCCGGGCTGATAGAAGGGGGGCTGTCCCTGTCCCATCTTGTAGCCCACCTGGGTAAGCAGCCCTCAGACGCTGCGGTCCTGGGAGGGCAGATGCCCCGTCTCGGCTGAAGTTGAACAGTGCTTTGCTGTTGACTTCAGGAGGCTCCTGACCCAGCAGAGCCCAACTCAAGATCAGGGTCCCAGATGCTTTCTCTCAGTGGGGGGTAATTTGCAGAGCTTAATAAAGATGCCCAAGCAAGCAGCACCTGGCATCAGGCCAGGACTTCCTGATGCCCACGCAGGCGGTAGTTTTTATTACTGTCGGTCATTCCTACCACACTGGAAATATCCATGATGATCCCCTGAGCAGGTCCAAGCAACACCCAGTGCCCTGAAACATCCAGCAAGGAGCGAGCTGCAGTGCTAGGAGAGGAATGTGCTGTGCACACAGATGCCAAGTTTTATGAGTCGCCTTTTCATTTCTTTGCCTTGCACCTCCCTGAGGCGACTCTGCGGGTAGGGGACAGGCCCCAGGCTTTGCCTTTTGCTCTGTGCTTTCCATCTCCATGCCTCTGAAGTTTTCCCTTGGGGGACCTTAAGAAAGGAGCCAGGCTGCGTGCTGGAGGGGCTGCCAGGCCCAGCAGAGATCTCATCTCGGGTGCTCAGCGAGAGCTGCTGTGTGAGAGGCAGAGTGTGCTTGGAGGAGCGGCTTTCCCTGCAGCCCGCAAACGCGGGTTATAATTAAAGTTAACAATGCCGGGAAGTTATTGGGTGGCCTGTGGCATTTCTGAGCCCTGGGGACTGATTGCCTCGGTGCATTCATTCAATTGCCATTGTTCGTGGAGCACTGCAGTTGGCAGGCAGCCTGCTAGATCCTGAGCCCTGGTGTAAATCTGGAGTCTTAGTGCTCCGTAGGGCTGTCGGGGGGAATATTTGGGACCTGATCCATCCTTTGTCTCTGCCCTGGGTAGCTGTTTGTAGCAGTGCCCAGGCTTCTGCAGTGATTTCCCCCGACTTTGTGCTGGCACAAATGACATCTTGAGGCCTAAAGCCGTGCCAGGGCTCGGTTGTACGTGGCTGTGTGTCCCAAGATGGCTCTAAAAACCTGGATGAGGCTGGGAGTGTGAGCAGCCAATGCCAGGCTGTGCAGGGGCGACAGCAGGCGCTTTGGCAGGATGGCAAGTTCAGAGCTGCTCTGTGCCTATCTGCCTTTCTGCGCCTGGGTGAGAGCACCTGAGGTCGTGCCATCCACGCAGTGAAGTGGGGCTTCTTCATGCCCATCAGGTAGCTTCTTAAAAGAGGACATTGCCTGCTAACCCAGGTAGCTGGGGAGGAAATCAGGGGGTGGGGAGGAAGCATGGGGCCAGATGGGTGGAATGGGGCCCCCAAAAGAAGGCTCCGTGATGGGCACTAGACAGGGATGGAGATGACCCCCCTCCCCAACCCTGTGCAGCTACAGGAACCAAAGGCCTTTGCTCTTCTGCGCCTCGGCAAGGCTCCACATTCATACAGAGAGAGCAAGGCACACTCAAGTCATATCTGCAAGGTCTCCTCCAGAGCCACGAGAGCAAAACGTGCATGTTGTGGTCTGAACTCCTGGAGGGATTGCCAGCACGGCGGAGGTTTTCAAGGAAAACCCAATAGGATTGCACAATCCTGTGGTGCAGCAACCCCTCGTCGTTCACGAAGAGATCTGGTGCTTTCTCCGCCTGTGGCCTATATTGCACGTATAACGACTGCCCCTGGATGCAGCCTGCACAGCAGATTAAGTGTCTTTGCTGTGTGAGCCCTGTGCTTTCTCCCCTGAAGATTTCATCCCCCGAGGGAGGTGGTTCCTGCCTTTCTGTCCCGTAGAACAGACTCTCGTCTCTCTCATCTGGAGGGTGGTATTCAGTAGCCCCGGGCTCAGCTGATGGGCAAGGTCCATTTTTTGGGGCCTTTTGGTGCCTTTGTCCCGTGGGAGCCCTTCTCTCTTCAGCTCCCGCTACGGCCCCGGGTGGCTGCAGGGAGCCGAACACCAGCTTTCTTCAGCTGTAGTGCCTAGTGCAGCTCTTTTCTTGTAGGGCAGGCTGGACCGGGGGCTAAGGCATCATCACAAAGCCTGGAGGCAGATCTCCCTTGGAGCTACTAAGTCCCCTTGACCGGTTCCAGGTCCCCTATCAGTCAGGCAGTATGGGTGTATTGTGGCAACAGATATAAGCAGGAGAAAAGCTTTGGGCAGCTGCATTCTCCCAGCTAGATCCCAGCAGCTTTCTGCTCCCCCTTCCAGTCACTTATCTGATGCCCCCTGTAAGTCGTGTGGATCACAACACACAACTCGAACGTGCCTCGCTAGAGGGAGAGCGTGGCCGTAGGGCACACAGCTCTTTGCCGTTTGCTCCCAGAGCTCAGGGTCCATGTACAGCTTGGGCTTGCTAGTCTTAGAGTTACTCTGCATTTGGGGGTCCCCTGGCTCCTTTCTGAGGAACAGCAGCTGGTCTGGGCTGATCTGAACCCAGTGCCCGGATCTTCTGTGCTAGTTCGGCGAAGCGCGTTTAACAACGTCCCTCGGAAGAAGCCGAAGAGAGATTTGGAAAGCAGGCCAGCCCCTCTAGCTGGGCAGCTGAGCGTGTGCAGGGCTGGGGTTGAGCTGGGAAGGTTTGATGATGCCGAGGAAGGTTCCTTGCCTCGGAGATCCTCCTGGAAGCAAGGAATCGCCCCTTTCCATCTCTCCGAATGGTTGAGTTTTAACATGGCGGCATAAAGCAAATTACTTGGCAAAGTGGCCGATACGCAGCAGAAAAATCTGCCAGAGCTTCATCTCCAGAGGCAGAGACACCGTAACATAGATGGGGACATGCAGAAACAAAGCGGAAAGCCCTCATGCTCCTAGAAGAATAGCATAGCTCTGCTCCGTAAGCAGAAGACCAGGGGAGCGAGGGTTTCTGGTAGCATGGGGGGAACTGAGCATCAGGGAAAGGTGACCTAGGCACAGCATTTGTCTTAATAAAGGGGTGACCCCCTGACTCTCTGCCCTGGAGGGGAGTAAAGTAAATACTATGCCTGGACCAAAGTTTGCTCCCAAGAGTCTGTAGGCCACTGAATATAACATCCTTCCTGGCCAAGGTAGGTCCTGAAGGACCAGTCAATCAACGAGCTCATTTCCAGCAAGGCACGAGGGGGCTCCCCAGCCTGGGTGGGTGATGGCATTGTGCCCAGCTCGCCCAGCATCCCGACATAGGTGCGGGTATCTCACCTTGCACATCTCCCAGCTCTGGCCCTGGCCCTGCCATGCATTAGCTGCGGCGAGGACCTCGGCTCTTTCCTCTGATCATTCTGGGCTGGCCCATGGAGCAACAAAATGTTCCTGGCAGGGCAGGGCTTTCACTGGAGCTTGCTGCCTCCTCGCACGTCCCTTGCTCTCCCCATGGGCTCCATGTGCGGTGTGCTTGCGTACCAAAGCGTGTTGGCCATCCTCCCTCCCTGCCAGGCCCAGCAGCTCTCACAGCCGCTGGTTGCAACATGCAGGGAGAAAAAAGCAACACCCCTGGGGCTGGGGTGGGGGCATGGAGGAGAGGAAGGGAAACAGATGACTTCATGCAGGGAGACGGCTATGGGGCTGCCAAGAGCTCTGGTCAGGGCCTGCCAGCCGAGCGGCCCGTGCTACCCTCTGAGGCTGGCACGCAGCAGCACAGTCCCGGGAGGGGGAAGCGAAGAGCGGTAGCTACAGCTGTGTGACTTGCTCCACACATCTGGACACAGCTGCAGGAGGATGCAGGCGGCTGTGAACAAACAGAACGAAGACAGGGGCGTGGGGCAGGGAGGGAAGGTGCAGCGTGGTGCTCGGCCTCTCCTCCGCTGTCCCTCCTGCGGGCGTCAGTCTGGATCCTAGTGGTGCCAGAGTCCCCTTTTGGTTAAATTACAACCTGGTGAAGGCGGATGCTGAATGCTATGTCTTGGGGACCAGGCTCCCCGAGGTGAGGCTCCCCAGGGCAGGACTGCAGCTCATGCTGCCCCCGTCCTTGCTGTAGAGGTCTCGCGTCCTTGGTGTTTGTCAGCCCAACTCCTTTCACAGAGGTACTCCTGATACTGGAGGCCAGCATGCACTTGGACTTAGGAGACATAAATTATTCCCTCCTCTCCCCTTGCCTCTTTCTGGGACTGAGAACCACTGCATTACAGCTGGGTATTACTAACCTGCTCCATTCCTCCTTCGGCTCATCAAGGAAAAAGCAAGTTATAATGCCTAAGAAATTAATTTTATTGCTCTGTGAGCCTGTCTGTGGCATAGGCGCTGACTTTTATTTTTGCTGAGTGGGGACCTAAAATGATGGACACATGGAAAGCGTTATGCATACCAGGT